CGGATTAGTAGGTCACCAGCGTACTCATAGTGCACCGTCGGCGAAGAGACGACGAGTACGATAGGCTGAGGTAGGTCATGACAGTATATCTGTCAGCATCTCTGTTACTGATTGCATCGACCAAGAATATGGTCGTTTGGCTACTAATCCGCTTCTCCTTTCAGAAACCTGGGTGTCTGCGGTCTTCTACCCATTCTTATCTTCAGCTTTGTTGGTGTATTGTATGATGAATGGTTTGCCTGTTCTTTTCGTAGTCCACTCTGAATCCTGTTTCTTCATTCTTATCCTCTATGGAATGCAGGAACACATTCGTATACTGAAATGCTTCTTGTATTACATTTTACATATCTTTCTTCTCAGTTTAGATCTTGTCATTGTAGTCTCTCTCTGTTTATTTTCCGAGAGATAAGGGTTTCCTTTTCCTGCTAGCCATTCAATTGGCTAACCAGCATTGGCCGGCTGGACACAAAGGCCTCACTCACACACCTACTGGTCTTATTCCTTCGGGTTTACACCGGATACGTGGTGTGTGAGTGGAACCACAAGTGGTGCAGCGCAAGCCACTTGGGTGATGGTTTGAAGCGCAGGCGTCCTCTGGCTTCGGTCACTGTGACAGGCTAATCCGTTTCGGATGCCGCCAACCATGGTTAGTAATGCGCGCTAACTGGAACTGCAGCTCAAGCTGCGCTAGCCAGTACTCTGGGTCATCCGGAACATAATCAGGGACCGCGAAAACTCAAGGCGTTTTCTTTCGCATCTACCTCGGCGAGCTCCGACTTGGATACTGAGGTATCTGACTGCATCATTTAAATATACACAGGATTTGAACAAATATAAATGCTAAGAAACTAGCGGAACTAGAGCGCGAAATTTACTGCTTTATAAAAATGTATATGAATACACAAATATGATGGAGGAAAAAGTTGAAACTAGCGTGTATAAAGTATGCAATAAATAATAGAAAGCAGCAAAAATAATTTATGGAACGGGCTCACCAATATCGCGATGCTAGTTCCTAGGTTCGTACGCCCAAGGTTTTCCCAGCCTTATGTTAACGCGGAACGGAAGTCGTAGTGAGAAGACGGTGAATCTGCAAACAAACTTTATTTATTGATTTACTCACCGTTCACAAGCAGACTTCAACGCAACAGTTAAAGGCGCTAGGGAGTTGGACGTGAGAGAACCTCAAGCACAACCGCACGGCAACCGCCAGAGAGGACGAATGTCGACGGAAACTCCAGTCGACCTTCAGAATTCAAACAAGCGTCAGAATGGTTGGGCGGCGTTCCCAACGGTGACAGCTAAAACATTGTTATCCTAGTGAATGTAGCCTATAGTAGCAGAGCTGGCGCGGATTCATTATAGAGTCACGACTAAGACTGCGATACCTACGCCAACACACTAACTTTGATGTTAGTGGTTTGTAGTAAATTTACATTCACAAGATAATGTGAACAGGCACGGTGGTACTGGTAAGGCAACTCTCGTCGCAGGGAGTTTAGGATTTTGGGACGTCGAAGGTGACCTTACTACATGCGCATTTCTGCAACCAGTGTCTCAAGAAACGACGTTCGACTACTAGCTGAGACACGCGGTATATTGACCACCGGTAATGACTTTGAATAATATAAAGCAAACCTTGAATCGAAATCTTCAACTGCGACGACAAATAAATTGGACCTCTCAAGAGGGAACTGTCTACACAATGGTTAGACCCCAGTAAAGCCCGAAAACATGCCTTGATACTGCCGGACAAATGAAAACTTCGCCGTGACTTTTGGGAACGAACTGAATCAACTGAGCTCGAAACATATGCCCACATGATCATCAACAAG